TTTTCTGTGCATGAGCACAGATGTTTGCTATTGCTTTAGGATATTGGCCTTGGGCTTGCTCATGCTGTAAGAATCAAATCATCAGTGTTCCAGTAGACACTCTTCAGCAGATACAGAGCATGAGAGGCAGGAGCCATACACCAGTTGTAATCTCATAGGTCATGCTTTCTTCCCACATGAATCCACATCCAGACATGTCTTTCCTAAAACTTAGATATTATCAAACTCACAAAATGTGACAGTAGAATTCTAAGCATCAAAGGTGTCAAGTTGAGTACTTTACTTGGCAAAGATTAGAAAGCCACAGTAGATTAACTTTCACCCCTTGAGAAGGAAAGGGATATTATGGAAAATTTACCATGCTGAGTCCTTGCCTCCTCACTGGGAAGGGGTTGAAGGTGGGGCTGCATGCAGCTTTCATTCTGCCCTCCTGCTAGGATTAGTTTTCATGAATCTGGATTCCCTTGGGATAAAGCATAAAGTCAGGTGATATTGTTGGATATTATCACAGTCATAGGAAGTGCCAGAGACATGTAACTATGCTAAGTTAAATGAGAATTTAAATACGAGTTCTGAAAGAGATAAACCATATCCTCCAAATGAGCTTCGTTGTCATGATGGTGCCTTCCAAAATTAACAAACATAGGCTCACAATTCTAAAATCTTTTAGGGTTGTTTAAAAATGTCATAACGCTGTTTATAAAAGTTTAACAAATATAAAATTTAAAATACATGCCAACATTGGGCATGATGAAAATAATTGTTAGCATCCTTTCAGGCATGTGTAAACTACTGTCTTATATCTACAGTCATGTGATAAATGAATAAAGTGTTAAATACCTTTGCTTCTATATATTATAGTGCTAAAAGTTGGATGTTATTATAGGAATTTAAATAACAGAAAGGGGAAATAATGCTGTAAAGGATAACTTGCTAAGGGGCTTCAACAAATTGATCACTTTGAAGTAGGGAATTAACATGTACATGGCAATTTTTTTTAAACTGGGAATCAAACTTACAGTCTCACATTGAGAGGTGGACACTGTGCTTTTGAGCTATATCCTTGGCCTTGTAAAATAATTGTTTTTCTTGTGTGCAGAGAGAGAAGCACCATTGGTCCAGTAATTATTATAATTCATTGTTAGTTACTGGACATTGCTGAAAAGGACATGCTAAGTGACATACTTTGTGTTTTTATAGTTGTCTCATATGTGGTTTTCAGACTTTTGAAATTATGTCAATGTGAATTACATGTGATATAATGTTCATAATTTCAATCTACTTGTTTAAATGTGACACATATTTAGATGGCACATATCTGTATTTCAATCCAGAGATGTTGTCTGTGGTACATTATCTTATAAATTCTATTAAATATTTGTTGGAATTTTAGCTTTTGACCATATACACTGTTATTTGAAAGTGAATACATTTGTATTCCTTCCTCTGCTAATTTTATTTTGTTTCTAGTGTCTTGCTGTGTCCACTGATGTTTTTCTTTGGATATTAATGTATTTAGTTACATTAATTATCGAATAATGCCTCTAATACTTTTAAAAGTTTCTACTCTCTTGATCTTTAGAATGTGTACAAATATAGAGCAATGAAATATCCTGTTTTCTTTGAGGTGGTTTAACATTTTTGTATTGCAGCAGCTTTCTCTAATTCTTGCTGGGAATTCAGCGCCTGGTGGCTAGGAATGGGCCACTTATGTGCTCTGCTGGCCCTACCCTCAGACTTCCAAGACTGTGATGTAGAGTGATGCCATGAACTCAACTCTGAGCCTCACTGATGAGCTTCCCTGTGGCCTGTGGTCTCTAGTGTTCTGAAATTGAAGTCTTTGTTCTTTTCCAGTACCTACATTCATTGTTTTTAATATATTTTGAGTCACCAATTTTGAATAAGTGAAATAATTCAAAATGTACATTGCTTGTTGTAGATTGTGAAATCCTTAATTGTTTAAGCTGTTTTTTTTGAAATATGTCATTTAAAATTTATGATTTGATCATCTCAGAGTATTCTTAAATTTCTCCTGCTCTTCATTTCTAATTTCATTCCACTATTGTGTAAGAGCCTTCTTTGCATGACTTCCACTGCACTGACTACTGTACATTCTGTATTGCTGTGCTGAACCTGGGCCACTGGTATAAATACTTCTTGGCTTGTTGTGAGGACAGCGTGCTATGTATTTCTGTGATAAAACATTTGATAGAATCCATCTGATATGTTTCTTTGAATTGTTATCTTGTTGATTTTATGTGTAAATGTAAAGATAGCTCTGTGTTCTTGAGCTGTGAGTCACTGATGGACTTCTTTTGAATTCTTAAATATATTTGTAAATGACTGATTTTTCTCTTCCTATCCTGTTTCTGTTTATGTAGTTGGTTCCTCTGTATGATGGGATATGGATGAAGCAATGATAGTTGTGTTTAAAGAGCTGCTGATTATACAGATATAATATAGTCAGGCTAATGTAGCTTACAGATTTTGTTGAATCAGTGCCACCCAGGTATGACTTTCTGCATAACTTTCCATTTAATCTATCCTCATCAGCATCTACATAATTGCCACTTGCTCCCTAGGTGGTGAGAGTATTTGCCCATTGCCTTGGTTTTTAGCTATTAATGAGCTCCCACAGCTATGTTTCAGTCCCTTTAATCTGAGCTGTACTCCTGAGGAATGTGACCTCCTCTTCTGATAGCACTTCTCCTTTTGGTGAACATGACTATTAGCTGTGGATTTGTTGCACTGATGTTTGCAATTGTAGTTTGCTGATCACTACCTAATATGGATACTGTCTCATCATTTCATGTCTGAAAAGACAGATAAACAGATATGAAGCTATAAGTACCTGTATTGGAATTTATTGTTTTAGTCATTTAAAGAAAATCTTATTCTCAAAAGTTTTTGTTTAGGTTTAGTGATAACATTGAAACTGTCTCACATGTATTCAGAAAGTTTCACCATTGGGTCTTAAGCAAGGAATGAAAGTAACCAGGTGATGAAATTCCTTCTGCTCAGATGGTATTATTACATGATTGATGACAATTCTACTTTCAAAATTTTCCAAAGGTTACTATGTGTGCTATTTCACAGAGATTGTTCTTTTAGCTTATTCCCTTTAAGATTTCAGGAACTACATTAGAAATTGCACAGAGAAACATTTTGTGAGGTTTTGTGGTGTTTCTCAATTTACTCATTTCTCACGCTGTTCATGGGGGCTGGGATGTGGATCAAGGCCAAACTACTTTCTAAAATAGTCTCTTGGTTACAGTTTCTGACTCTTTAGTTTCACTTCAAAAGAATCACATGTATTCCCAGGAATCATAGTGTACAGTATTTTCTAGACATTAGAAAGAAATCACTTGTCTGTAGATTTTCATAAAATGCATAGTAAAGGAGTTTGTGGAATGTAGGAGCTGAGTGTTGATTTAAAAAATGTAATTATTTTGTTATTCCACAATTCAATATTTTTGGTGCTTTGCACAAATGCCATTTAGATTTTCTTTTGTATTCAGTGTTTATCCTAGGTCAAATAAGTTTTTGCTTATTTCTAGGTTTATGCTCATTGGCATTAACGCTTTATGTAAAGTCTGTGTGTTGTGTTTCATATAAATGTTTTTTTGTTTCAGTTCAGTCTTTATAGGTTTAAATTTCTTCTAATTTTCATGGCTGATTGATTTTCTTCTGAGAAGAGTTTTTCATTAACTTTGTGTTTTATAATAGAAATTACATATTCATGCATGTTTGTCTTGCCAATTTCAATGGATCATCAATGCACACAGGTGAAGAGATTGTACAGGCCAGATTTCTAGGCACATATCTTTTTCTCTCTGAATGTTAGTGAAACAGATTGTGCTTTCTTCCCAGGATTCAAGCTGAATTGTGAACAGTGTTCTACTTCAGTGTGGATGCATCGAAGATTATCTTTCTTTCCTGAGATACATGTTCAACTTCAAATGTTTTTCATATTTATTATGCAAAATATTTCTTTCCTCATGAGTATTGAATGTTTGTAGATTTTTTCTAACTTTCTTCTATAATTGTTGAAAAAAATCAGAGGTGTGTTTAGCTTGTTTCTTTTTGGTATTAAAGCTTAAACTCAGGCTCTTGGACACATCAGCCTAGTGCTAGTACCACTAAGATATATCCCTGGTACAAAGGTGTGATTTGTAAATGACTGAATTAGTTTTAGATTTCATTTGGTGATGGAGTTTGATGAATGGCCTCACTTTGTAGTCTGAACTGTCCTTATTACCTAGCCCAGACTGGACATTACACATGGCATTGCTGAAATTCCTGGTAATCCTCTTACACCAGCCTCTCAAGTTCAGGGAGAACAGGCCTGTGCTACCCCAGTGGGCTGAACTCTTCCTTCTGTATTTAGTGACCAGTTACTTTGCTATACCTCCATTTTCACTGCATTTCCAAAATATTCTTTCCCACATTGTCTTCCTTTACACCCAGGTAGAATTTCTAGTATTCAAGTACAAGGTGATACTTTGGTATTCCTGAGCTATGGGCTTACACTTTCCCTAATTTCCTTGTCTAAAGACTGGTCAAATAAACCTTTATTTTCATTAAATTTCAGTAATTCATAAACCTTTCATATTCAACTAAACATTTATCAATGAAACCAATTTCAATACTACAAATGCTTTCTAGAAAGAAAGATGAACTCAGTGTTATAAATAACCAAGTGTTTTGAGAATGGTGGTTTGCAGACTCCCTCTTTGAGCTCTGTTTTAAAGTCAGTGAAAAACTTCAGTGTAGGTTACCCTGCAGGAAAACCATGCTACAGTTCCGTGATTGCTTTGACAATATGTTGTAGTCTAGCATCAGTGTTACTGAGTGACTATATTTGATTGTACTCGAATTTTGATGGCCATGGCATGTAGTCAATACTTGAAAGAATGAACTTCAGTTAGACTGATTATGACAGAAGCTGAGATATATCAGGTTGCATGTACCTGAACTTCAGGACACTTATCATTATTTAGGAGACAGTGACCTTTGAGGATATAGCTGTGAACTTCACCGCAGAAGAGTGGCATTTGCTGACTCCATTCCAAAAGAAGCTCTACATAGGTGTGATGTGGGAAACATATATGAATATTATGATGACAGGTAAGGTTGATATGTTTATTTATAAAAATAGCATTAATTATTGCTTAGTGATATATAGTTTAATGTATTTGATAATTATAATATTTGCTTATATATCTCAGAACTGATTATATTATACCACGAGTATAACTGGAACCAGTGATATTTTAATTTAATGTTACAGTGAATTTTTTATTTCTATGTGTGTGATATAGGAAGAATATGGCATAATCAGAAAATTAAAGAAGAGGACAAAACTTTTTCAAGAAATCTAAGGTGATTGACACATGTAAGATAAAGGGAACATCCTTAAGTGTCAGTGTGGGTGCATAAATATTACAAAAAGGAACTTGAAGCCATGAGATCATGTTTCACTTTATTTAAACTCCAAAAATACCAAAGGAGACACTTGATTTTCTATTACCTGAGAATCCATAGAAAAGTATTTCAATGTAGGAATCAAGGACAGTGCTTATATTGTGCAACAAAATACACTGTCTAACACATCAGTTTAAAAATTGCCTTCATGATCTATATCATGGAAATGTAGGAGAGTAAATTTAAATATTGTTTTCTGATATGTAGGATATGTACAAATTGTGAATTTTGAAAGAAACTCATCTTCAAAATATCCGTATATATATATATGAATACTGAGACTTGCATGATCTAGAATTCTTTTCACATAGAATCAGTATTCAAAATGCAAATGAATGTTTGTGTTATAATAAGTATATCATAATATCCTATAGAATGTTGAGCTGTTTGTGTTTAAAATTCCTCATGCATTGTTGATGAATACATAGCACAGAAACATGGTAATGAATATTCAGAGGTTTGAAAAATAAAATGTTTCATATTGTTTCACATGTACCTCCATTGGTGTATACTTCTATTTTTTTTTTTTTAACTTTAAGCCATGGTTTTATACTGTAGTTCAGGTTGACTTTGAACTTACTGTGCAGCCCATACTGGCCTGAAACTCAGAGTGATCCTCCTGGCACTACCTCCTGACTGTTGAGAGGGTTGCACTGTGTCATTTATGTGCATTGGCTCTCTCATTATATTGTCTAATACAGTAAAATTATCAAGTGTTAGTGATCCACACAGTGTATTGTTCAATGCTGCATATGAGAGGGCATTCAAAATATCTAATACAAAAATCAACTTACAATAGGTCAGCTCTGAGAAGCTGCCCATCACTGTATGCCTGGGTAAAGAACATGTGGACTCAGCTCATTATGGTGGTGCATCCTTGCAATCTTAGCATTGTAGAGGTGGAATCAGCAGGATGATAACTAAAACTTCAGCCTGAGCAAGTTCATTGTCAATATGATGATCTCTCAAAAAAACAAACAATAGGTTAGCAAATGTAATTCTGTCTAAGATCTGCATTTAACTCTCTACACAGTGAAAAATACACTATACAAGGAACCATAATATTATTTCCCAAGAAACAAAGAGTTGGACCTTAAGTGAAATAAATCAGAAACAGAAATGGAAATATCACAGCCTTTCTCTTAAATGGGAAATTAAAAGCATATTTGAAGAGTAAAAGTAAAGAGAAATAATATGTGACTAGAAAGCCTTACTTTCTGTAGATAAGAGAGATGATCAGGCTAAATAGACAAGGGGGAGAATGAAGACCTGAATAGCTAAAACAAGGATCAATATTTGTTAGTCATTTGTAACAGATTCCTAAAACAATATATATTGGAGTCATATATCAATTTAAAATTACCAAAAGAAAATCATCCTTTTTTGAATGAATAGTAGTTTGAAAGAAATCCTGCAGGACAATGAGTTAGTTAATAATCAGAATTACTTATCAGGCATCAAGCCAAATTTGTCATTTTAAATCTCAACTATTAATATGCAGCACTTACCATTATGATTGATATTTTTTTTTGTATTTCTTTGTAGATATGATGAAGAAAATTACTTGACAATTGGAGAACAGCAATATAAATATAATGAAGATATAGGAACCTGCAATGATTTCCAGTCATTTCAGAAGCATGAAATAAAGAAGACTGGAGAGAGACCCTGTCAGTATGGGCCATGTGGCGAGGACATCTCTGACCTTAGTGAACAAACTCACCCTGGGAAGAAATCCTTTCTATGTAAGAAAAGTTTGAAAGTCTCTGCAGCACCTGACAGTGTTCAAATCCGTGACAGAAGTCACATTTCGGGGAGCTCATATGTACAAAACCACTGTGAAAATAGTTTTATTTCTTCATACCATATTGAAAAAGATGTTAGAAAATATGGTAGAGAGAAACACTATATAACTGAGAAGTGTACAAAAGCACTATCTCACAGTAATTGCTTTAAAAACCATAAAGAATTTCATGCTGGAAAGAAAACATATGAATGCAGTCAATGTGGGAAAGCATTCAGTACACGTGGTAGCTGTAAAAGACATGAAATAATTCACACTGGGGAGAAACCCTGTGTATGCAAAACATGTGGAAAAAGATTCAGCACAGCCTCAGAATGTAACATACATGATAGGATTCACACTGGGGAGAAACCCTATGTATGCAACAAATGTGGAAAAAGATTCAGGACAGCCTCAGATTGTAAGATACACTATAGAATTCACACAGGGGAGAAACCCTATGCATGCAACAAATGTGGAAAAAGATTCAGGAGAGCCTCAGATTGGAAGATACACTATAGAATTCACACAGGGGAGAAACCCTATGCATGCAACAAATGTGGAAAAAGATTCAGTAGATCCTCAAATTGTAACACACACGTTAAAATTCACACTGGGGAGAAACTCTATGTATACAACAAATGTGGAAAAACATTCAGGACAGCCTCAGATTGTAACACACATGTTAAAATTCACACTGGGGAGAAACCCTATGCATGCAAAAAATGTGGAAAAAGATTCAGGAGAGCCTCAAATTGTAACATACACTATAGAATTCACACTGGGGAGAAACCCTATGTATGCAACAAATGTGGAAAAAGATTTAGGAGAACCTCAGATTGTAAGATACATTATAGAATTCACACAGGGGAGAAACCCTATGCATGCAACAAATGTGGAAAAAGATTCAGTAGAGCCTCAAATTGTAAGACACATATTAAGATTCACACTAGGGAGAAACTCTATGTATGCAACAAATGTGGAAAAAGATTCAAGACAGCCTCAGGTTATAACACACATGTTAAAATTCACACTGGGGAGAAACTCTAGGCATGCAAAAAATATGGAAAAAGATTCAGGAAAGCCTCATTTTAACACATGTTAAAATTCACACTGGGGAGAAACCCTACTTATGCAAATAATGTGGAAAATCTTAAAATAGCAGTGGTAATCTTATTATACATGAAAGATTTCACAGAGGGGAGAAACCTTTTGTGTGTAACAAATGTGGGAAAGCATTCAATAGTGCCTCAGGATGTAAAGTACATGATAGAATTCACACTGGGGAGAAACCTTTTGTTTGTAAGCAATGTGGGAAATCTTTCAGTCACAAGGGTAACCTTATTGTACATGAAAGAATTCACACTTGGTAGAACCTCTAATGATACAATGTGACAAAGCAATCAATATGGAAAAGTGCTGACAATAAACCCTATCTACGTAAGCAATTTGGGATGTTTTCCAGCTGTAGTAGTAGCTTTTGTGTGAATAGAGGAATTCATTCTGCAGAAAGACCCTACTTATATGAGAAACAATTAAATGGATTTGTTGATAAATTCTCACTTTATAAACATAAAAGTTCCCACATTGGGAAGAAAACCTATGTACATAAGGAAATGTAGGACAAATTTGCAGAGACAAATTGTCACTACATGAAAGGATTCCCTCTGTGTAGTAATTCTTTGCTTTAAACAATGGTGGATTCCAGTCAGTGCACAAAAATGCCATTGAATAGGGGAATAATGTACAGAAGGAAGAAACCCTAAGTATGTAGGCAGTGTGGAAAAGATTTGCTGCAACGTTTCCCTTTTGCAAACAAAATTTCCCTCTGGGGTGTAACTGCATGTGAGAAATGTTTGGTAAATGGTCAACAGACAGAGCTGCTAACCTGAGTGATGTCATATTGGTTCTCAAGCCTATGTTTGCATTGTGGGAAAGCATTCAATATTCACATTTATTGTCAAATGTGCAAAAATAATGATAGTTATGTGAAATTATATATAAGTGACTTGAAAATTACTCATGTAGAGGAGACATGGAAAATAATATAAAATTATTGCTTTCAATATGTGTTCATAGATTTTTTAAAAAACACTCAAACACAAAGGTGTCCTAAAATGTTTTCGTTTCTTTTTTGTAAATCATATATAAGTGATGTATTTTTCAGTAGTCTTAATAAAAATTAGTTTTTAAAGAAAATTTAAGTATGCTGAATCATTTTTCTCATGGTTTTATTCCACCAATGCCTTGTCTTGATTCATGACACCCACTTATCTAATACACTTTTTCCCATCTGAATCTGTAAAACCTGCATCAGTTTATTAAGAAGGATCTACACATACACAATCAGAAATGTGGTTGTACTCATGGTCTGTATCTATGTAGACATGCTTATGGTAAGATACGCCATCACAAAAGTAAAAGCAGAGTCAGTCACTCTCAGAAACAATGAACTAAAATTAGGGAGAAGTCTTATTTATGTAATGTGGAATAATATTTAGTATACAAACAGGTTCGAAAGTGCATGACAGAACTCAGTAGGGCGTAACCCTATGTAGGTAAACAATGTTGAAAATCAGTCAGTGGGTCAATTGTGTCCATAAAATAATTCACACTTGAGAGAAATCTTATGTAAGACTTATTAAAAAGCCTTTGTTGATAATCCATGTTTTTTTTTTTTTTAATAGGTACCAGGGATCAAACTCATGACTGCCTGCTTGTAAGGCAGGTGCTTATGTCACTGAGCTAAATCCCCAGCCCCAATAATACACATTTTCTAGACAAAAAAGATCCCACATAGGCAAATCTTTCGTATGTAAGCAGTGTGCAAAATCTACCAGGCAAACCCATAGCTTGCAAATACATCAAAGAATTCACCATGGGAAGAAACTGCTTAAGCAATCTGGGAAAACCTTTGCTTCACATAGTCACTGACAAACACGTGAAAGAACTGATAATGGGGAAAATCTGTATGAATATAAGCAATGCAGCAAATGTTTCCAACACCAGTGATTGTAACGATGTGAAAAAATTCACCCAGGGAAGTAACCCTGTGGAGTCCAACAATGAAGAAAACCATTCAGTGCAAAATAGTCCCATCACATAAGGAAATAGTACACACAAAGGAGAACTCCCATGTATGCAGTCAATGTGAGAAGTATTTCTTGCAAATTTTTCATTTTATAATACTAAATTTCCCACACACTGGGCAGTAACTGTGTGAAAAAGGTGTATTGAGAAAAAGTTTCCATTGAGAGAGATGCTCACCTCCAAAAGTGATGTCATAGTGTGGCCAAAGCCTATGTGTACCATTTGAGAAAACACTCAGTGTACATGAGTATGGTCAAATAATTGTAAGTAATCAGTATGAAGAGAAATTGTACATATGTAAGTGACAATTTGAAAATACTTTGCAAATTTCTCATATAGTGCAGACCTATAGAAATGCCTTTGAAAAATTGATATCAATATATATTCATAGATTGTCCAGTAATCACTCTTAAAGATGGAAATAACCGAAAGCATATTCACTTTGTTTCACTATCATACATGTCTAGCTGATCTATTTTTTGTAGTCTTACTATAACACTTTTAAAAGATAATTCAAGGATTCCAAAAAAATTTCCCCACGTTTTTGACTCACTGACAGTCTTTATAGATCACACCTATCATTCTAACATTCTTTTTCACTTGGCTCTGTCTCAATTATTTTTTCTAGAAGGACCTTCACAAACACATTCTGAAATGTCCCTCACCAGATTTTACTACCTGCACCTATGTATGTATGCTTATCATAAGATCACAAATTGAAAGTCAAATTTGCTTGTTTCTAGTACCTAATGTAAGCATTCATCTTTGGAAGGCATCAATGTGTATAATGGGTCTGAGTTCTTTATTGTTACCTTAATATCCCTTATTTATGATTTTCCTGTAGTTCTTGCTCCTCTCCATTTTTGAAAGATGTATACTCCTACTGCCTATTATACATCATGTACTTTTATACAAATGTAAGCACCATGCCTCTTAAATTAAGTCAGTCATTTATAATAAATAGCAGAATCCTGACTATGCAAGTGAATCAGGATTTCACACAAGTTCCTAAGGTTCAATGAAAAATGCATGGAATATGATTCCCACAATAGGAATAGGGAGTGATGGAAATGATGTCATATCATGACACCAGAAAGACAGAGTCACCAGTGTGCAATAAATAAGATGATAATCCCAAGAGCATCAATTAAAACAGGAGAATTGTAGCATTAATATTTTTTGTCTCTGAAATGGTCTTGTGGAGTTCAGGCTGGCCTTGGGCTCACTTTGTAGTTCAGGCTAATCTTGGAATCACTTTGTTGTCCAGCCTGATCTTGAACTTGAAGTAATGCTCCTGCCTTAACATTTCAGTTCCTAGGATTACAAACATATGCCACCATACCCAGGTTTTCCATTATATTTACCTAGCAAACTATTTCTTGACAGGGATGATAATGCACCACTTTTCCTCTTTGCCATCCAATCTTTGGGGAATGGCACTGCCAAAGTCTCCTAGTCTCCCTTTAGGCACATGCCCCACAGTGGCAATTTAGCAGCATCTTTTGTTATTAAAATAAAATTCAGAAATAAAAAGTCTAAATTATGTTCCTTTCTCAGTAACATAAATAAATCTAATGTCACTTGGATCCATCATGGATCTCAGTGTCCTTCATCAGAGAGCTATCACATGATGTCACAACCTCACAAGAAGGTGAGGTGCAAGGCAGGATGAGATATGAAGAGAAAGGCAACACATTCACACGATGCTGCTTACACCATGGTTATTATGCCCATTTCTATATTTAGTAGCACTGTAAATGTTCATTCATATACATTTTTAATATATTCCAAAATCATAAATATATATACAATGTTATATTTATAAGTTTTTATGTGTGTAATGTACTATTCTCCATTATTGGGAATATACAATGAGACAGTTGGCAATTCTGTGCACTTGATCCTGAGGTAGAATACCCTGATTAATTACTATAATGTAGTTCCAACTTATTTCAATATTTCATCTTTTTAAAATAATATGGCAACACATAGGCACAGTAGTGATTTCAGGAGATTGAAGCATTCTGGGAACCTGAGGCATTGCAATTTAAGCCCAGGCTTGGCAACTTGGAAACATAGTGAAAACAAGTCTGTAAATAAAAAATACAGCTGGGGAGATAGCTCAGTATAAAGGTCCTGGATTCCAATCTCAGTACTGAGAAGTTAAAATGGGCCTTGTTTCCTGATAAGGCAGTAAAACCATTGGCTTCAACTCACACTCTTAGTAGTCTTGGTGTCTTCCCAACATCCATGCTCTGAGTTTAGGAGGCATTTCCAGACTACATAGTCCCCAATCACCGGTGTACAATTTCCATCCTACTCACTAGATTTAGAAGTAAACTTGCAAAAATCACAGTTAGTCTATCTCTGCTCTGTAAAGACAAGAGCAACATCATTTTAAGAGTAGTAATGCCCTTGTGGAGCATTGCAGTAGTCCATATATAATCCAGGAATGGCACCTGTCAACTTGCTCATCAGTCCAGATTTTGGATCACTTTTCCTGTCCCACATGTGCAGACTCACTCTGAATTTTCTCCTCTAATACACTTCACCCTGAGTGACTCTCAAAATTTTTCCATCTTTTTATTAGATAGATAGATAGATAGATAGATAGATAGATGGATGGGGGGCTTGGAATTCTCCAAATGTTTATCTTGTAGTTTGGTTTAATTAAAATGCATTGCTTTCTGGTTCTTTTTTCCTCTGTTTTTTATTATAAGTACCAAATAACAAAGATGCATCTTCAGCACAGTATTTGCAAATATCATTAACTTCATGTATTTATTATTTATAAAATCTGCAATTTTTTATTTTTTACCTCAATAACCTGAAGCTCACTAACTCTCCAAAGGGATGTTTTTCAACTTTAGATTCCAATAATATTTCTAAATTCCTTCTGGGTGGTTACTAGGAGTGCATTTAGAGCCACATTAATGTATTTTAACCTATGTTTAAGCAAATCGAAGATTTTCTCTTTTGCATCTCAAAAACTTGCTATCCTCTATAAATCACCCAATGACTCTGCCATTTCCACATGTTCAGATATGAGTTACAGTGGTGCTGTTTGCAGACACCAATATCTGGGTGGATTCCTATGTCTGCTATAAGCAGGTGAAACTTAAATACAGCATATTTGTACCACTAGAGTTCTAGAAATACAATCGTTGAAATAAGTTTCTCTAGTGAGACACTCAGTTCTCACTCCTCAGGTGTGACAGCATTTGCTGCCTCCCCAGGTTAAGGAAGAGTTTTCCTTTCCTTCTCTGGCTCCTGGTCCCTTCTTCTGTCATCAAATAGTGCAGTGAGGCATCTTGTCTCAGAAGTGATGTTCCCTCCCCATTTTCCTGTGCTCTATCTTCTGCTTCTTGCTCAGGACTTCTATGATGACAGTGGAAGCACATAGATAGAAATGAGGGTGCTCCATCTCCATAGTGCTATCTTTAAATTAACCATTCAGGGGTGACTCCTTTACCCCAGAAACTGCTATTCACAGTGTCCATGGAAAATAACGTAGATGAAATTTTGGTCCTTATTTACTGTCCATTGCCCAGGAGGATCAATGCCTCAGTTGCCACCATGGATTATGGGGGTGGCTCCTCCATTCTGTAGAGTAGTGAATGGGTTGTTAAATTAGACTTCTTGAGATGACCTAGCTTCTGGCACTCATCTCTTCTCAATTTTCAATAACTTCAAATTGTTTATTTTTTCAAACATGAACATGTCTTACCTCTCCTTGAAAAGTTAATTCACTCTAAAAAATTAATACTCTATTTGCAAATTAATGAGACCATTCTGGTCTTAAATTGCATGTATGGAGAGTCAAATTGTAGATAATATAATTTATGTGGAGCCTGAAAGGTAAATGAAGCAAAGAACAAGAGGCATCAATTTCAGCTGAGCATCTCTGAGGAATCAATGCAAACACACAGAGCTAATGAAAATAAATGTCAGTGTCCAACTCTGTCTTTAGTTTTCCTACCTAAGGCCTCTCTTTGCATCTAGAGAATTAAAGTCATTCTGTATCACCATCATTGTGCTGTTATGCATGTTTTCTACTGTTGTCAAGCAAAATTTTTAGCAACAGAAAGCAATGTAAACAGCAAGGATTT